TGAAAATTCCGAAACCTTACTGCACATCTACAGGACACCTCCAACCATCTCTCAAAAGATGATTAGGCTACTGTGTAAAATGTAAGAGGAGTTCAGGGAACCAGGGGCTTTTTGCATAAAAAACGTCATTTTTTCGACCCCCATTTGACCCCCAGGGTGAAAATGAAAATTTCGAAACCTTACTGCACATCTACAGGACACCACCAACCATCTCCCAAAAGATGATTAGGCTACTGTGTAAAATGTAAGAGGAGTTCAGGGAACCAGGGGCTTTTTGCATAAAAAACGTCATTTTTCGACCCCCATTTGACCCCCAGGGTGAAAAAGAAAATTCCGAAACCTTACTGCACATCTACCTGACACCACCAACCATCTCCCAAAAGATGATTAGGCTACTCTGTAAAATGTAAGAGGAGTTTGAGAAAGAAAAGTGTGACAGACGGACGGACGGATGGACGGACGGACAGACATGAGTAACAACAATATACCCGAACTTTCTTTAGAAAGTGCGGGTATAATGACAAAAAATATTTATGGGTCACATCTTTCACCTGAGCTCACTGGCTAGGAAGAAGCAGAAATCAGCTCAGTATTGAATGCTTGGGGGGGGGGGGGGGGGGCTTAAATTTACACTGCCTCAGGATGCTTCAATATCAATGCTACTATCATGGCTTTGTTGTTCTTAAACAGAAGAATTTAAAAAAAAATTCCCTATGTATTCTTATGAAGCAAAACTCTGATCGCTCATTGTGGCCCCACCCATACACTCTTAAGGACATACGCAACGTACCTTACCTACTGATAATTTTTCAAGATATTATTAATTTAAGATTATAGTGCCATCAGATGTTCGTCGACAAAAAATCAGCATGCATTACCAGGGGTTTTGAAAAGATATCAATTGATGAAAATTCTTGTATAATTTAAAGAAAAATATTCAAAAATTACTAAACGTATATTCTAGATGTTTTGATTATCAAAACTTGTTTTAGAAGAAGTGTACAACAGCATATATAGACATTAAAATATAGCACACAGTTCCTTTAAGTATTGGAACTCTTCAACTCCAGTGGAAAAGACAGTAAAGTTCAAACTACGTTGCGTATGTCCTTAATTTAAACAAATTTGAACCTATACTACCTGAGGATGCTTCTATAATAATATAACTAATCATGGCTTTGCTGTTCTTGAGCAGAAGATTTTTTCAATTAAGATGATTCCTATATATTCTTATGCAAAACTTTGACCCTCTGTTGTGCCCCCCCCCCCCCATACCCTGGGGGTCATACTTTGAACAAACTTGGATCTACATTACCTAAGGTTGCTTCTGTATAAATATGACTAATAATAGTTATGTTGTTCTTGAGAAGAAGATTTTAAAGATATTTCCTATGTAACATGTATGATCAGGTTCTTACAAGGGATATATAAGTTTTTCTTTTTACTCTGAATTAATGATTGGAATTATTATTAAGATATCTTTTTCTGACCCGTACGAACAAGTGAGGCGTAAACCAGCTGGATGAGACATGGAAACCAGCTGGTTTCTAGACGGAATTCAGAATTACGTGTCTTTACCAGGCGTACATGAGCAGGACACGTATTCCTGCTCTTTGCACACACGGAATACGTGTCATTTTCCGCCTCTTGGGCCAGGCGTAATTCTTGTATCAGGCGTAACTTTTTAAAACCAGGCGTAATGCTGAACTTAGTAAAATTGGTAAGGCGTAATGTTGGACTTAGAAAAATTGGTGAGGCGTAATGTTGGACTTAGAAAAATTGGTGAGGCGTAATGTTGGTCTTAGAAAAAAATAGAAAAGGTACAATGTAGGCAAAACATTATATTTCACTTTTCTTTTGTTAACAATAAGTCCATTGGCAATATTTACAGTGAAATACTTTATAGATTAGAAAACTTTAAGATAAATATTTCAGCATCTGTGTTTGTCCTTCCCAACATCATTGTTGAGCTAAGATAATTTCTAGCTGAAATTACAGTCCCATCACAGATGTCCTTATAAGTTCCACCAGCTATATTTCTGTTAAACCACTCTTGCATTTTGCTTTTAAAAAAATCCATCTTGAAAAATAATAGATTGTGGAGTAGATTTATAACAGGTATTTCCAGAAAGAAGTTTTTGGCTTCTTAAATGGTGTTTGACAAAATTCCTTTAGACAGATGACACAATCAACATTTTATTGGCCCCCAAACAACGATGACAATGAAAGTGGTAAGCACCGTCACAAAGGTTCCTTAGTTGTTTTTTTTTTTTGGACAACTGTTAAATGCATATATGTCAAATGGTATATAAAATGTGTTCTGCTAGCATCACATCTGAAATTATGTTCAAAAGTTGTTGGATTCATCATCTATTATTGGTGCAAATCACAGCAAGCACTAACATGAATACTCTTATTGAAATACGGATGTTACAGAGCAAAGAATGAAGTTGGAAGTCTTGATCATCATGCTCCGTAACATTGCAATTTCTTCAGTGATATCATCCAAAATGTATTCCTCTTCATCAGATAAATCAGAAAAGAGAATACTATCCTCTTCATTATCAGAAAAATCCTCATCACTAAATTTTATGTATCTTTTTGGCAGTTGGGGTTCTTTGTTTCTTAAATGTTGTCATGTTACTCATCAAATCGTCCAGCTCAGACTCTTCATGGTCAGACATCTAATTCAAGAATAAAACACTTCTATTATCCAGTTAATCAAATGCATGCAAGTGAACATTAATTTAATCAACTAAAATAAATATATTTTTAAAAACCAGAAATTGGTGTGGAGGTTGTATTGTTACAAGCTAATCAATATGTACAAAAAAATAATTAATTTTCTTTAAACATATTGAGAAAAAAAAAATCGATGAGAACTCATTCGTATTTTTTTTTCTCTTGCTTTACATGTACTGTATGATCATCAACAGCTGATCAAGTAGCAGGGATCTATATACGTCCCTGCAAGTTGCAAGAAGTAAATAATTTGTGATGTAATAGTAAAGCGATACAAACAAAACAAAACAATGTTATTTAAGGTGACCTACCTCGCTCATGATGATTATTTCTGCGCCATCGTCTTCTAACTTTAGAGTCGATTTAGTTCCGAGATAATTCGGGTTACAATCTGTAAAACGGAAGTAACATTCTATTAAATTGATTGTTGATCCCGATATATGTAGGTCGATCTTTTTTTTCTTTTTTTTTTTTTATTAAAAAAAACTGTAAAATACTTACCGATATCAGTTTCCTAGAATCTTCTACTGTTTTCGCGCAATCAATGATTCCTGTTCTTGTTATTTATGTCGGCAAATTTACACATTTCGATCACAAATTCTGTACCTTGTAATGCATCTCATATTTTAAATCTCCATCGTTCCATAAATTAACTTGAGCTGAAATTTGCTAAATTTTACAAACGCTTTCCGTAAGTAACCTTCTTTATTTTGTTTGGTTATTCCATGATTTTCCAGTGTGCCGAGAACAACTGTAAACTAAGGTGTTTTCTCAGAGGCCAAGGAGAATCGCCTTACAAAATGATCTCAGTGAAATTTATTGATCTACACATTGATTTTGCATCTTAAAAAAAAAAAAATCGACAAATTAATACTAAAAGAACGCATTTTTTATTTTGAGAGATTATTTTGGGGAAAATTTGTAATAGCTTTTGTATCGATCCGTCGTGAACCTCAACAGTAGAGCATCTTCGAACCGGGGCTGCAGAAACTTGATATCCCACGCTATCAAAATCCCGCCCGCATGGTCATTTCAAATTTTGTTGCTTTGAAAGAAACATTGCCCTGCCGATTTCTACTTGTTTCTGACAACTTGGTTTTACTTGAAAGTGAAAATACTTCGATGAGGATTGCAGTTTGACTGTCGTGGGAGAAAAAGACAAAACGTTGACAATAAGGACGGAATTCGAAGTGAGATACCATCATTCATGGCCCCATCATCAGTGGTAAGAATTTTTTAGATTATCATACTCATGATACTCCAGCGAGGTTAACACTTTGAAATATATCATATAGTATTATCTATAAAAATTTAAGAAATGTGCTTTTAAAATCATTCTGTTAACATGGTTAATGATTAGATTACATGTAGCATGCGTGTTTGTTTACGCATGGAGACCTGTCGTATTTGTGAACTACTGCTGTTCTATACTCCATGATTTTTTTTAAAATTATCTTTCTATCGCATAATTATCATTTTTAGTATTTATCATTTCGAAAAAATATATACAAAACAAAAAATATACGAGGCATTTTCCACCCTTTTTTTTTTTTTTTTTAAAAGTCGGGTTCAAGATGAGGGAAATATAAAGTCGCATGGATCACAACATGGTATGATGGTATGAATTATAAATTTGCCACACGGCGCGGTGGCTGTCTTAAAAATTTTACTAGACAAAATAATTACAGTAATTTTAATCAAAAACTGTCCTGATAACAAATAGAGTGCACTTTCTGATAAGCTGACCATGTTAATATGGTTAAGGTGATGTTTAATGGGTTGCTACAATGCATAGGTGGATCGGAAACTTTTCATACCCAATCAATATATATATATATATATATATATATATATATATATATATATATATATATATATATATATATATATTCATAAGTTTCTTGTATTCGTTGCTTCCTACTGACTTACAAGGGGTCTGTTTTGTGTTTCTTAAAAAGGGGGGGGGGGGGTCAAGTTCAGATATGCTACACAAAGCTCACATTTCTTGGTGATAATTTTGTTATATGTGTGTGTATTTGTAGATGATGAAGAGGAACTAACAAAGTTTGCTATTCGGCATGCAGCAAATTATTAGGAAACTTGCAGGAGAAAGCAAAAGATATTCCAGAGAGACTGTTTAATTTCTCAATCTAAACACAGAGAAAGCAAATGGGAAGAGAACAAGGGCTCCAACAGACAAAATAAAAGAAATTAAGGACCATGATGAAGAGTTTATCTCAAATAAGAAGAAGAAAAACACTGAGGATACAAGAGAGAAGAAACAGGAGCTAAGTCCCAAGGAAAAGAAGATACCAAGTCACAAAACTCCTCCCTTGAGAAAACACTCTACTACCAACATTCTTTCATTGGTAGTAGTAGTAGATATTAGCATTTCATCCCATGGAGGATTGTGTTGAGGTTAGATAATAATAAAAAAAATAAAAACCTAAATGAAGTATTTGTAAAATACACATTCAATATTTGATATATTTAACTATATGCACGGCTTTAATATATTTCTATTCCTATCATCCAGATAATCAAGAAGCAGGCTTCCTGTGTCCAAATCCTCCTTCTTCAGAAAAACCAAGGGAGAATGACCAGGATATTTCACCCCCTGGAATATCTGAAGGGGTAAGATTTTCATGCCCCCAATTGAAGGATTGGGGATATATAGTGTTTGGTCTGTCTGTTTGTTTTCCTGTCAACCCATTATGTAATACAACAATTTTTTTTCTCTAATTGTAAATACTGATCTTGTTGGACATAATGCATGTGATTTCAGACCTACATTAAAGCATGGCTACAATTTTCCTTCAGGTTATGCCCTTTAGTGGTGTGGAGAAAATGAAGAAAAAAAGTGAACCAAGAACTGAACAATGCCATCACAGAGCAAGTCTCATTGCAGGACAAAAATTTAAAAAGGAACATGGGAAAGAAAAATATGAGAATGCTAAGAAGAGCTCAGTGCACGATACAAGCTAAGCTAATGTAAAACACACTTATTGCGAAGTACAATGAATGAACAATTTTGATTAGGCGTAGTTCATTATATCCATTAAGTTCACAGCAATATTCTAAAATTTAAGGAAATGAAAATCACTATAACCATGAATTCATTATAAGCATCTCTGCTGTAATACAAAGTCATCAGAGATTGGTACACTGTATTTTCAAGATAATTTATAATTTTCGTATAATACAAATTTTGAGTTTTCCTTAAATGGGAAGATTTATTAATGTAAAATTACATTATTGTCGTCCTGTACAATATTGATTTCTTGTATAATGCTATATATTTTACTGTACAGAATCCTTTGTTCTGAAACAATTTGATACGTTTTTTCTGCCTAATTGATCAAAAAGGTTTAAATTACATACAAATTTATCATAATAACACATTTTAACAGCAATATCAAATTCTCCAAAAATGCAGCTCATATTGCTTTAAACTTTCTCAAATGCAAATCAAAGACGTTGGTACTCAAAGTAAGGTCTTGTCCAGAAAAACATAGTTCGTATTCCCTGGAGGTAAGGTGTTGGGGCACAATCACAGAGTATTCATTTTTTTATTTTTTTACATGGAAAATAGAAGAAAAATATCTCAAGAACAGCAGGGCCCTGATTAGTTATATTACTGCTTATGCAAGCATTCTCAAGTTGCACAATTAATTTGGGAGTTTTTACAAATTATGGTCCTTTCAAATTAGGTGGAACCGCAATACCAGTAGTAAGGAGCACAGTTTTCTATAGTATTGTATAGTAAACGAATTTTAAAATCCGGCCTTATCAAGTACACCAGATCGAGCCATGATTATGCACATTATGATCAAATAATCTTACATACTGTGCAGATCATAATTATTTGAGTCAAGGCTCTGGGGGTAAGGTGGGCTTTTAATAAGGAATCAAGTTTAACATGTTAATATATAGCGGGAAAATTAAACATATAATCCCCTAATACCCATTGGGCTCTCCTCTAGCACACATTAAAATGTGTGAATCCCATGGATTACCTATTGATATTGTATGTGAGGACTGTGATGATTTCATTTGTGCCAAGTGTGCCAAAACAGATCGTAGAGATCACAATTGGAAAACTATACCCACTGCAGCCAGCCAAAGGAGGAGAAGTCTACTTACATTTCTGAAGAAAATCAAGGAAGAGGAACTCCATGGAATTGATGAGAAGATGGAGAAGATTTCAGACCAGATCATAGAAAATAAAGAATTGTGTGATTCTGAGCTTGAAAAGCTACAGAAGCATTTTGATGAGATAATGGCTAAGCTGACAGAAATTAAACAACGCCATGAAAAAGCATCGAGAGACAATTTGACTAAAAATAATGATCAACTGAACCATGTGAAATCTGAGTTAGAGAAGAAGAAAAGAGGAATTGTTAACACAGTGGAATTCATGGAGGAGAACAACAGCACCATGTCAGATTACAGCTTGATTGACAACCACAGAGAACTGACAAAAATGCTGTCTAAATTGGAGGTTCATACAACAAACTATGAACATTCAGTGAGGTTCACTAGAGGTGAAATCAATGATGACTTACTCGAGTCTTTGGTTGGAAAAACTCTGGATTTAAATGATATTGGTGTGACTCAAAAAACATCATTTCAATATGGAGATAAAATAATATATGCCTTGGAGACCTTCAGTAAAGACCAATGTTACATAAATGAATTTGATTCAAAATATATAGAAAAAGTCAACCAGCAAGGCATAAAAGAACATAAATTTAGTATTAATCTTAATGGCATGTGTGTGGCTGATACCGGGGATGTTTATTTCACTAATTTTAATAACAAATCCATCAGCTGTCTGTCACCATCAGGGTCTGTCTCTACAGTCATCAGTACAGATCCACTGGTACCATTAGGAATCTGTCAGTCAGTGAATGGTGAACTACTGGTCACCTTGAGAGACATGGAATCAGAGCATTACAAATTAGAGTCACACAGCAGACGTCTGGTGAGACACATCACAGTGACAGGTGATGTCATCCGTGAGTATGAGTACCAGGAGGACGGTCAGACCAGACTGTTTACATTACCATTCAGAGTCACACGGAACAGTAACAGTGATATCTGTGTTGTGAACCGTACAAGTGAAACTACAGGTAATCTAGTGATTATGTCTCCCTCTGGTCGTATGAAGTCTGTTTTCCGTGGACAGAGTCTGACAGAAGACTTTGATCCAATTGATGTAGTGTGTGACTCCCTCTGTAACATCCTTGTTACTTCTTTTATCAACAAACAGATCCATCTGCTGAGTCCTGATGGGGAGTTCCTGAAGTTCTTACTGACAGAGAATGAAGTGAACACGCCATACTCACTATCCTTATACAAGTCTCGACTGTGGGTAGGATACTGGGAAGGAATTGTCAAAGTGTATCAATACAGAGTGTAGAATGTTATATACATAAATTATTATGGAATTCATTCACATAGAAGGGTAAATCAAAGTGTTTAAATACAAATTGTTATGGCGTCACAAGTGTTGATAGTTAGATGGACAGACAAATGGACGGAACCCAAAATCTGTAGTAGTCTTCCTCTTACAGTAAAGAATTTTTGTACAAAATTTGAACACATTAGACTGAACACTTCGAATTATCGCATCAAAATAATGTCATGATTATATATTCAGACATACGCACACACAGAAAGACAATGTGATATCACCACCCCAATCTATAGTTGCCTCGCTGTTAAAGTACTTATATACAATATTTCATTAAAAACTGTTTGAGTTATTGTATCACAAACGTGTTGAGGAACAGATGAATGGACAAAAAGACGGACAGAAAGATGGATAAAAAACTATAGGTGTCTTTCTTTTATGGCAAAGAACTTATTTATGTACAAAATTTGTAAACTTTTTTTAAAAAATGATCGAGTGGCTTTGTGGTTCTTCAAGAAAAAAAAATCCTATATATCCTAGGAAAAAAATATGATCGTCCATTGTAGCCCCGCCCTATCCCCGGGGATAATGTTTTGAACAACTTAAATCTACACTATGTAATGAGTCTTAAAAAATTCCACATGAGTTTCATTTTTTCTTGCACAGTGTTCTATTTCCATGGTATTTTTATACAGTAAGAATGATCTGCCCTTAGATCTAAAATGAGATAAATTGAAATTTAAAGTGTATAACGTAATTAATTCAAGTTATCTAAACACTTCATTTGGCCTATGTATTAATTGAACACTTCATTTGCATGTTTTTCCCATTTAAGTAAGTAACAGTGGTTTCTGACTCTTCATTGTCTTTACATATTTTCCCATGGGTGAACTACAGGTACCCTATGTTGCAATTACGGGTACCCTGTGTTGCAATTACAGGTACCCTATGTTGCAAATTAAAAAGATAAACTCCATATTTACATCTTTGTATGATAGTCAAGAAAACATTTCAATTGGTGTATAGAGGGTCATTAATAGTTTTGCAGACCTGCAATATAGCTTGACTTTTTTCACAAGCAATTTGTGTACATATTTATAGCTGATTTAAGTCCAGTATAAAACTTTGCAATCATTATTGTTGTCTCACTTATGATTTTAATTATTGTCCTCCATTAGCAGGAGATCTGGCATTCAATTAAACAACAAATTCATTCATTAAATCAACTGCATTTTGGGTATTAAATTAGATGATTTGAGAAAATGTGAAAAAAATTAAGAATCAATGTATATGTGTGCATATATTTTGATCAGAAGTTAATTGAATCATATACATGTAATTATAATAAATTCATTTTATATTTTAACTTTGTTTTCTAAGTAATAAAATTTCTGCATTGTGATAGTTACTGCACCACTGAAAACAACAGAAAAAATGAAAAAAAAAATTGGTTTAATATACTTTAATGTATTTAATATCATTCATAGAAATAACAATAAATAAATGCCATAATCTGAGGACTCAATAGTAAAGCCCCTCTGTAACAAAGTCTCTCTCTGATAATCTTTACAGCGGGTGCCCTTGAAATTTATGTGGAAGTTTTACAGATAAATGCCATCAAAGGTGGGAAAATAAATGACGTGTGAATCAAAAGTTAATGAGAAATGCTGCTGATGAAACAGTCCTTCAATAGCAGATGTACTAAAATATATGCTATTCATATTATTTAGTACATTACATAAATGGAAGACATTTATTAGTTTTGCTAACACTGAATGATTGACTTTGGGCAACATTACCATTGTAGTGAAAATTTACAGAAAACACAAAATTGTTTGAAAAGTATAAAAATATAAATCATACTTAGGTACATGTATATTGCAAACTTATATTTTAAAAATAGATTATATCAAATGTGTCCTAAACATTGCATGTGATCTTTCTAAAAATATATGAGATGGACCTCTGATGTATTGCAGAATGCACCGTGCAACAGCACTGAAGTAAAAAGTGTCTAATGAAAAGTAAGGATTCGTCGCTCAATAGTGTGGACATGAATTGCTTCTAGATGAATTGGTTGATTATTGCATAGAATCTGACACAACCTTCTGGCAGTGGTTAGCTCGACACTGAAAAGATACACATTATAAATTCAATTTAAAATTAACATGGGGCTTCATCACTATTATGGTGATTAGTGAGGAATGTAGATTGCAGTTACCTAGGAGTTATCTGTTAAAGTGTGGGGAATCTCTTCAATGAAGAAACCAGGCACCAATCCTCGACGTCCGTTGATCTAAAAATTAGACCACAAATTTTATATATGACACTAGACTTTGACCCGTGCGTGCACGGGTTGACATTGTTATGAATGCATCCATGTGCATATCAGCATTTACAAAATAGATACATTGACACATTCATATTGTAAAGTATTTTTTAAATAAACAATGAATGTGAATATAATTCTGTTTTTTTTTTTTGGTGTTTGTTTTGTTTTTTTTGTTTTTTAATTGTTGCGTAACGGCGTAGCGCAGAATGGGTTTGACCACAGTTAGCTATAAATCAAGTCTTGAGTTCGAATCACGCTGGAGCTTACATAAATTTCACCCTTCCAAACAAATTCAATAAAAGAAATTATGGATGTTCATTGAAAATATGACAACAGCAAAGAGTTGAGCACACTGCTGATACATATCAAGCAAAGTAATGAAATGAAGAAATGTGCTAAGCTGGTATTTTTACACAATCAGTTATTAAAGTAAAGGTGTAAAAAATTTTGTAACAATTTTAACACTGCAGGTCTCAACTTGTTCAAAATATGACCTCAACAATAAAAGAGTTAAGCACGGCTAATACATATACTTTATATATACACAGGTAATAGACAGGTATATAATCTGTAAAAGACTGTCTGTTTTGATAAAAATTAATGTAATATCCTTGAATTAGTACATAGAAAAAGTAATAAAAATAGAAGCTTAATTGAGAAAAAATAAAAACAAATTGGTAATCTTCAAGTACCAATGATGTTTAAAATATATAAAACAAAAGACAGTATTCTTCCGATTTATCGGTATTAAAGGCCAAAAATTCGAGTCTATAATTTTTATATAGTAGTTATTGTAATTTTTGGCGGAAAAAGAATGCCTACTTCACTAAGATGTGATTCTAACTGGAGTTGTAACACCCCCCCCCCTTTTCAGTTCCCCTCAAAAAAGCATAAAAGAAAGGAGGGATAAAATAAATTGGGTAGTTACATTAATGTTGCTCCTACGATCATGAGCTTTTTGCCTCCGTTGAGATGGCCAGAGATATAAATAACATTTAATAAATTTGTCTCTGAGATGGCGAATGATTACCCACGTGGCCACAATATCACATTTGTATGGATATAAACTCAGAAACGATTACGATAATACAAACATATGCGTCAGAAGCAAATTGAAAGTGGGGTGTCTATTTGAAAGTTGGGGGGGGGGGCTATACCAACGAAAAAAGGTAAGCCCCAATTTTCAATGCCTATATTATGTCTATCTTTGCAAAAAAAAGGGGGGGCTAAGCCCCCCTCCCCGGTTCCGACCCCTATATGACAAATACGTGTAAATTTTCATTGGAAATTTGCTATATATTCTGTTCATATATATTACTGATTTCTTATTAGAGAAATTATACAATAACAAATATATATCTACTTAATATTTACTTTTGTCTTCTCTGATTTGAACACACTCTCCACAACGGCTCATACATTCGTGTATGAGAGAGAAACGAACGACAACTCCGCAAGGGAGATTGATTTGAACACCGTGATTTAGCGTGAATGTAATGCGCACGCGCAAGATTGTAAAATCCAAAAAATCCAGATGATTTCCGGAATTTTTTGAGGAATTTTCGTTGATTATTAATTAGCAAAGCTTAATTGAGAAAAAATAAAAACAAATTGGTAATCTTCAAGTACCAATGATGTTTAAAATATATCAAACAAAAGACAGTACTCTTCCGATTTATCGGTATTAAAGGCCAAAAATTCAAGTCTATTATTTTAATATAGTAGTATAGATAAATACTGCTCGGCATTTCCAAGAACCAGTTTCACATTAGAATAGAAAAGAATTTCTTATCCAAACACTATCTGGGGCTAAATCTGGATGTGAATAATCCTGACACTTCACATTCTGGACCAGATTTGCAGGGAACAATTTATATATACAAAACATGTTTAAGTAATCAGGATGCTTCATTAATCTGGATAATTTACTTGGTATCACAATTAAGTGTCCAGTTAAATAAGGCTTGACTGTACACTATTCCTTAGCTTACAGTAAACATATATACACTGTATTAATTCACATGGCATAGTTTTCAAGCATCTTCGAGTAAATTCCTATTATTGCGACATTATTTGCAAGTCAAGACAATCTTATAAAATAACATGAATGACTTCTCATAAATTTATAATTCTACCTGAGTAATATATCCAACACCGAGATATGGCTATTGAGTATAATGTGAAAAAATACAACTGCTCTATAATAGTACAAAAAACGTACCTCCCCATAGTAAAATCCATCTACTCTTTCCTCCCCATAGACAAGGATTCTCTCCCCTGCCTGAAACGGAAGTTCCAGTCGGCCATGTTTACCAGGAGATGGTACAAAGTCATATACACCAACAAACTGTCAAAAATAAAGTAGAAATATCACAAAACTGCCCATCAGTGGGTAGATATACATGTACATATATTACAAGATCACTTGAGGGACAAGCTTCATGGATTTTGTGGGTCACCCTTATCCATGAATTTACATCCCCATGAACAATTATTTTGTAAACATATTTATTCATTGAAACTTCTGTATGTACACAAGAGCTACCCAAAAAATTAAGTCCCCATGAATCAATAAATTTTGCTTGCCTATGAACACTGACCCCCACAATTTAAAATGATTACCCAGTAAGTAAACCGAGTTTTAATGTACTCCATAACCTTACCATACGCTTGTGTGAGGAAGAGTACACCTCATGACTCCTAACAGCTGATGGGTTTTCTTCTGGGCCTTCAAGGTCACCTGCAACTGGAGCATTATGGATGGTTTCCACAACATCAGAGCACTGTCCCCCCGATCCTATGGTCTGTATACTGAAAGCCTGACGCTGGCGGGTGTCTACATTCTTGACGATGGTTTTGGCGATGTGAGGACTGCTGGCTTGTTGATGAAGCTGACCATTTAAGTAGATCTAAAACAAAGATAAACATTATTGAACATTTTGATCAAGAAGGTTATGCATTAAGTGAAAGAGGATTTGCATGCAGCTTTTGTAAAAAATACATCTATGTTCAGATATTTGTGTGTTTGTTCCCCCCATTCTCTTCAATGTTGTGACTCATGCCGGTATTTACAATTGATACCCTGTCCTACATTTGTACATTTTGGCTCCAAGTATGTTTAACCCTCTGCTGTGACTGTTGTCAACCTACTTCCTACCCTGTGAATCTGACATGTCTTTGTAGGTGACTTCTGTTTTGGGTAGCCTGTATATTTAATTCTGTTGTAGGTGTCTACTTACTTTGTACCCTGTACATTTGACCCCTCATTTGTTATTGTTGTTGGTGTCTACTTACTTTGTACCCTGTACATTTGACCCCTCTGTTGTGATCATTTCATGTGACGACTTATTTTGTACCTGGTAAATATGAGCCCTCGGTTGTAATTGTTGTTGGTGGCTACTTACTTTGTACCCAGTACATTTGACCCCTCTGTTTTGATTGTTCTCAGTAAATTTTGGAGGTGTCCAAGCTAACATCAGAGTGTTCCGGTTTATGACCTTTTCAATTCGGAAATCTTTGGGTGGATCTGGATATTCTATAATCAGCAAAAACAAAATATTTTTTAATTACATTTCGAATGCAAAGCAGACAATATACCACATATATATACCATATTTATAGCAATCTTCTCTCAAAAACACATTTAAAGACCTTTAGAGCTTACCCGATGTCCTTGCTGATGTGCTAGAGTTTCTGGTAAATAAGGGGGATAACTCCGAGACATGACCATTTATCCTGGGAAACAAAGGGGCACCTGTAACATCAAATTATATTCTAAATAGAATACAGTCAAACTTCTTATTTCAAACTCAAAAGGACTGGGAAACAAAGGGGCACCTGCAATATTTATTATATAAATAAAAGAAATACAGGTAAACTATCTCAAACTCAAAGGGACTAGGAAAAAACTTCAAGACATCCAAGGGTTCAAGATACTGTTAAAATACATGTACATATATATATATATAAAGAAAAGGTGGAAGGGACTTTCAACTCTCTTCAACACATCCATGGCATTCAAGGTTCAGTACATGTAAAACACCCTTACAAAAAAGTGCCAGGAAAGGACGATCTTGCTTCGTTAGAAACATAGTTTGTTATATCAGTTAAGTTCACATACCAGTACATTTTAAAGCCATAAAGAATGAAAATCACTTCACTATAAGTGTCAATTTATTACATGCATGTTTGCTATAAGCATGTTTCACTGTATTGATGTTGGAGATACCAAAGTTCAACTGTATTTCTAACAGTAAGTTAATGAAATTGTAATTACTTTCACCATTCTAAGATCTGAATATCCTTACCGCTTCTATTTTGTGACTGTTGAAGTTGATAATGTGTCTCCACAATTCTCTCAGGACTCGCATCTAGATAAGCTGGGGGTTTCTGTCCCATTATTCCCTTCCATCGTCCATTTCTTTGGTCAGCAAGGCTGGCGGGACGTAGGTAAGCTGCAGGGACAAGTCCTGTTTTACCGTTCACCTCAGCTAAGTAATAACCTGTGTCGTCAAGTGGTCCTACAGAAAAAGTCAATTGATTTGTTAAATAGCCTATAAATATGTTTGCAAAACTGATATAAATAGCTTTAGGAGAAAGGGTTGATTTCAAGAATTCCTTATCTGTATTAGCCCTTGGTAAAGATGGATAAAATGAAAACAAAATTAGGAAAAAAAAAAAACATTTCCAAGTAAACAGTCACAGTGAGTGATATTGAAATTCTAATAATTATGTAGATTAAGTGACAGTAATATAAAAACCTTTCACGGTGACTTTGTCCCATTCCTGGAGCCTCAGTTCCTCTGATGGCCGATGACTTCTGGAGAATGTAAGAGGATCATAATTGGCGACAGCTATAAAAAGCGGATCTGGTGGCATGTGACCTACAGGTAGTGACTCATTAGGTGAACCGTAACTAGGTGACATCTGACCTCCCTGAATGTGTGGCAGTCGTGGTGTGTGTGTGGACGGAGGCAGTAGTCTCTGTCGTCTTTCTGTGTGGTGGTTTGATCGACGGATAATTGGGGTCACCATTTCTGTGTCGCTATGGGCAATATGGTCCTGGCTGTCACTGACAGATGAATTTGATCTTGACCTCTGCAGGTCAATCATAGACACAGAATGTCTACTCAAATGGTTTGCTTGCTGTAACAAGAAATTAGATTTTTCTAATGGTTGAGGGCAACAAAAAAAATGTTTCATGAAATCAAAACAATTCTCATGACCCATCCTTCTTCACAAGATTACATCTTAAGTTATTTTTGTGTTTTTTACAAGGAAATTTTAATTACAAACAATTTTGGAAGCATGTCTGGAAATACTTCACTTGAATTCTATTTCTAATCTTTTGCCAAGAGTTCTTTCAATCAAATCTGAGCACATTTATGAATTTCATCTTTATGTAAATAATTATTGTCAAAGTTTTATCATGTTTAATGTGTTTTTGATTGAGATAAATTCCCACCTGAGGAGATCCTTCATCCAGCACATTGTATTCTTCAGAAGGCATTCTCTGTTCCATTAAGGCCAGCTCCTGGAGAAGTGAGCCAGGCCCACCGCCCATCTTCAGTTTACGTAATTCTACTCCTAGTTTTCTCAGCAGATCATCCTAGTAATGTCAAAATAAAAAAATGTATGAAAATCATTAGGACATTGAAAATTGTCCTAAACAAGCAAGTTTACAGTGGATCTTGCGCTTACCTTTTCCCTACATTTCTGCATCAGTCTGGCCAGCTTTGTTTTCAATGGAGTCACAGAAAGTAAAACTTGTTCATTCTTAGCTTCCAGATCATGGCACTGAAAATGAATAGAAAACATAACAATTGTGAATTAAATTATAATTTCCAAAACTTCTGTAGCAACCCATCCCCATAATACATGCATCCTTAATATTATCATTGAATAACATTATTATCAGTGTATTAGCTGAAATATCAATGACCAGAATTATTGACATCCATATGCTTTAAATTTTACTGAAAAAATGAAGGTCTGTATCTACTTAAAGAAGAAATGAGTGAACCATGAAAGTTCAGTAGCTGTGATAAGCTAAAATACTGATGACCAACAATCATTGACAATGGCTTTTGGAAAATGTTCACCATGCTCAAATGCTTTTTGTATACTTTCTAGACAGTTTTGATTTGAGTTCAAAGAAAAACACTCAAGAAAGGTGACAATACTGAACTTTCATTATGAAAGAAGAAAAAGAAACTGAAAGTACAATTTGATAATTTAAAGGAATATGATAAAGTAAATCAAAACCTAAAGTAATTTTTTAAAGGTAAAACAGAAAGTGGGATCCAGGCTGGAAAAGATGAATGTTGCAAAATATCTGGACATATTCTCCATGCAATATTTAGTATTTAAAGATAAGCTTGGTGTCCCGAGTTGATGTGAAAAATAAAGAAGTATGCACACAAGAAATATCTGAAATGGAAATCAATTTGTATTAAAGCTACAAATCAGGCTGTGTTTTATCCAGAAAACAATTTTATAATACACCAAATTGTGAGGACAACATATCAGGCACAAGTTACCCTAGTATGAACACCCTGCATGCTGGCTAGAGATTGATGGAGGTTCATATTTTCACGCTCAAGGGAGACAATTTTGGATTTGTAAGTTGATATCTCTTCAATCAGAGATTGGATTTTCTCTGTCTATAATAATATTTGATATTTAGTACGATAGCAAGGATCAGCAATATTTCAATGACGCATTGAACAAATCTTTATTTTAATGAATACCATCATGATTTTGAAAAATTAATTTTTTTATCAAAATGCATTTTGAATTCACACAATTAATTTTTAGTTTTTCACTCTAATTTTTTTTTAATGCTTTAAGGTTTTATATGTGATAAAAAAAAATTGGTGCCAATAAATCTCGAATGATACCCTGTTTTGCAGAACAGAAGTCATGTAATCAAGTCTGCCTTCAGAAATATCAACTTCACTCCTTAATTCTGCAGCAATCATAAGTTCCCTTTCAAGTCTGTTGACCTGGTCTCTGAGATCATTTCTGTCAATTTCTACCAGTTCTAGGTCCCTAAGCTGTAGCTTCAGTTTGCTGTACTGTTTAAAGTTTGACAGGTATATTTTGAAGGCATTTTTGAAGAAAAATAATCTTCCATTTTATAACTGATGATATATAATTAAATTATTAGGAATAACTTTAAAGCTTCCCAAGTTATACTGTATAACTTATGGGTTGGAACAGTTTATGCTTTTTTTTTAATAAACCACTTTGCAGTTTATGAAGCGTAAAATGCCCCAACCCTGGTTATACAATATAACTTGGGTAGCTAATAATAAATTCATTCCTTAAATATACCAGTACATCTCTGTCCATTTCAGCTGCTATGAAAATTGTCATACATAGTCAATCTAATGAAGGAGAAAGAGGATGTTGAAGAATACTGAACAGAGTAAAAGATTTGAAGATGTCTATCATGTCTTTCAAATGATAACTGATCATATGCTGCAAAGAATCTTTACAATGCCATAATTGCACGCACTTCTAGTGTAAGGATTTGAGACAGAAAAACATGTTACAAAATAGCTAATAAATGCCAAATTGAAAGAGCTAAATCCAAGTTTTATGATTGCTTAAATTTATTGAAAATGAAACAGTGTTAAAGTTTTAACCTGTTCCTGTAGCTTGTTATATGCCTCCTTGGACACTTTGAGATCTTTCTCCGTGGTGTGTAGATCAGACACCTCCAACTCCAGACATCGGAGAGAATCCAAAGCATTAGTACGCATGTCCTCAACCAAACGACATTCCTCTTGCCACTGACGAAGTTCACGCATCAAGCCGTCCACCTCGTGTGTCTGTAAGCAAATTATGATCAAAATAATTATGTATTAACTAATATCTATAAATCATTACAAGTTTTATATTTTCTGCAATCATTTTTCATAAAATATGTAGCATTGCTGAAGCATATGCTTGTCAGTAATGACATGCAAGTATATGCAACAGAACTGAGTTGGTATTGATCTACAATATAGTGAGAATTTTTACCAACCCAATTCTAAATCATTGGTATAACCAGCACTTACTTTAGCTGTAAGTTCCCTGTCTTTTTTGGCCAGTTCTGTGTTCAGTGCCACTGGATCCTGGTTCAAGTCCAGTTTCTGACACCCAGAATCCTGGAGTTCCTCCAATGTTTTAATTAACTCAGCCTCCAGAATCTGAACCAACTCCCGGTCTGGCTTAGAATCCTAGAAAATGATCAAACAAGATTAGCATAAGCTTGTTATTTTTATTGTATTCTTTTTCATACCAAACACTCTGCAATATCTGTGGTAAAATAAAAATTGTGTTGTCTGATCCTTCATGGTAATGGAATTCAGACACATATTTATGTTTTTAATTGGTATTTCTCAGCCAAATCACCAATCATTTTATTTGTAAATACTGAAAGTGTAACTAAAGCTGCTTTGAGACCACATGATATTTTATTCTACTCACCTTCATCTCTAGCAGGGCTTTTAATTTTTCTATGAAGTCCTCTAAAATGAGAATATATCTAGCTTTTTCCTCTACATCTTTTTCTAATTTATTTATCTGCAAAAAATCATCCAATCATTAGCATCAAATTATCTTTGTCATTTCAATTTGTCTTTCCTGGTTTCTCAATTTCCCCTCTACAAAGTGAAAGTAACTGGGCTAATTAATAAATTGTGTAACCACATTTATCAGAATTCTCATGCGTTATTTGTGGTGAGAGTGAAAAAATAAAATTAAAAGCCAGGACAGAGAGGCATGCTAGAAATGAGATTTAAATTTGACTCCCCCCTTTTTTTAACAGCTTGGACAATAAATTGCTGTAAGAATTCAGGTGTAACAGCTAGCAATCTTCAATTTACTCTATCCCCAATTCTATGAAATGAAGATATTTCAATTTTCTCTGAATATGCTTAAGCACCAATATTCTAAACAAATGAAAAAAATAAAGAAATGAATGGTGATCAATCTCATAGATAATTTATACCACAACTTTTGCAGATCTGTACAGGTAAAACCTAAAGTCAACATATGTTTTATATGACATACAGGTGATAACAAAAGTCAAGCATTACTAAAATACTGTGTTATGACAACATCAGAGTATACCTTTAATTGTCGTCTTCGAGATGGAGGAAGCTATAGGTGGTATCAAGCGAATTGTTACTTTTATACTTTGATGGTAGTAGAGTGTTAATAGTTTAAAATAATTATTACCATATAATAATACTGGATGATTATATAATACTGAATACAGGGAAATTTTCGCCCCCGTTTTATTTTTGCCCCTTTCCCCCTTACTCTCAGTTGGACGAATTTCAAACGGCGTGAATTCAAAGAACACAGTACGATTTCTTATACGGAACTGTGAGGATGAAAATAACCCCGTATACAGTAATTCTATTTAAAGTGCATATCTATCACTTTTATTTTGTTCCTAAGGAACTTGCTTTCTACACTTAGGAAATAATTTTGAATGATATGTTGTCATTGAATTGTACATGTACATGTATTAAAGACTAAGGCAAACAAAAGTATTGAAGGCATGTATAACATATCCTTTTCAACCACAGGAAAAAAATTCATAATCATAGGTTTAAAAAAATCAGTTCTTGTCTGGGCCAGCTGTCCTGTCAAAAAAAAAAAGAAGAATTTAAATATGAAATAAAATTGACAAATTTTGAAGTCCAAGGTCTGAGGGAGACGTGAGTTGATTTAATTAAGATATAATCTTGTCACGATAGACTCACAAACCAAATATCCTAAACCTAGAGTTACCCTGTCTTCCTTATTTTTTGAGAAATTGATCTCACCTACATTTGAACATCAAAACCAGTTTTCATTTATTCTATGAAGATTACCTCTTGTTTTAAATATTTAGATTCTTTTTCAGCATCTTCTAGTCTTCGAGAGGAATCGCTTGCCTAAAAAGAAAATTATGAAATTTCTTCCTTTCTACACAGACACATTCAAAATGCTGAAAAACTTCTAAAACTAAATACAACTTTGATCAACAAAGATTTTAATCAACATGGATAATTGGATCAAACAACCCTCATTATATGTGAAAAAAACAAAAGAAATGTTGAGTATCTAAATTTGACCAAAACAAAATTTTAGTAGCTTTAATAATAGAAGACTAATTTTAAGAGTCTCCATTTATTTCAGCTACCTTGGATTTCCAGACAAGCAGAGAATTCTCATCATCTGACAGATCACTGACACAGGATAGAGGGTGCTTCTGGAAAAAAAACACAGATGGAGAACTTGAAATAACCTTAGGACTATTTGCCATTAGGAAAAAGAAGCTCTTGCCATAAATTTGACATCTAGATATATTCATCATCTTATCAACCAGCAATATTCATTTTCATTATTAGAATGATTCCATACACATGAGCATGACCAACATGTGAAAAACAAGTTAATGACAAATATGTTAATGATGCAAGGGAATCAGCAATTTCATTTTCAGTCATCATTTCAAAAATTCTATGACCTAGGCAATGACCTAATTAGCTTGTTAGCTGTTGCTATGTCAAATGATGCCTGATGTTTTTAAAAACAAACTGTTTGGCCATAATTTTCATACTGAATTGTTGATCAAGACAAAGAGCTCACAGTAGGTGTAACAAACAAACAGGGGATGCCTACCCTTCTATGCACCAAATTTCATCTCAGATATTTCCACAGCCGGGACATTATTTGCTCTGCTCTCAAGCTGGACTTTTGAGCATATTAGGTTCCTTTCCTTCCCATTTCATCATTAATTAAATTCAAACTCAGTTACCTGCAATGATTTTCCAATCTCTGCTATTTTCTCCTTCAGTGACAGCTGTGATTTCCCTGTGGAGGCTGCAGAGGTGGTTCCCACAGAGGTGGTTCCATGTCCACTGTCTGGGATACTTCCGGCTGTGTCCTCTATCCTGATTGGTGGAGACATCATTCTGTATTCTTCCATCAAATGCTGCATCTCAGGCTCCCCGCCCATACTGTCATGATTGACAGCTGGCATATAATAGGGAGCATCGAAATTGTTCAGGCCATGAATTGAGGATGGGGTAAGGTGGGGCTCTGTTCCATTAACTGGACGAAATTTTCTTCGTTTTACTGCGGGACTGTTCCCGCTGGAATCTGTGTCATTCTGTGTAAATTGCTGACTCTCCAATTCTGATGGGAGGGTTAATCCTGGGGAAAAAGAGGAACACATTATAAAAAAAACATACACCTAAGTCAGCTGAGTGTTTTTGGATCATATCCTAATACTTTTCTCTTGATTTATAATATAACAATCATCTTCAAGACAATGTCTTAACAATATAGTCCAGCAATAATATAGTCCAGCTCCTTAGAGCAATACGGTCAAGGTATCTAGTAAGAATTGCTAGTTATCGTAGAGTATTAAATCTCCCCAAATACATAATCCTTGATGAAGCAAGATGTTCAATAACAATGGGACATTCTAGGTTCGAGGACTCTAATATACTTGAATCTTCACTTACCTAGCACCAGTTCTTCATTACTGGGGTGGGACTGGTTTGGCACACTGGAATGTAGACTGGTAGCTTTACCGACGTGGATCCATCGCTCGGAGTCTGGGGCGTGGGGAACACGAGATTCCACTTGCCTCCAGTGAGCTTCTTCCCGCGGTGAAAACAGCTCGTCTTTCTCAAGACGGCTGACAAAGTCGTTCACCCTACGCTGACGGTCATCGTTAGACATCGAGCTGTAGGGGTTTTTCTCATGTAAACCCTGTACTTCCTGAAAAATGAAAACAATTTTTTTTTAGTATAATTTTCTTTTAAAAATGCATGTTTGCCTTAAATCTAAGATCAAATGTAGAAATATTTTCAACAATATAGATTTCTTTGGCCTCTTCATTTTTTTCTTTGGCTTTCAGGTTTCTTTTTTTTTTTTATAATTTTGGCTTTCATGTCTCTGTATGCATGATTTTGTATGTTTAACCTGAAGAATTTTTTTTCCTTCTACATACTAGCTAGCTTTCACCTTTCCCTTAGCTAGTTTTCTAACACATGCAGTGCAGTTATATCATGTTTTGAAGCTGCATATACCAAGTATAATTTTAAATTTATCACCTTCTAAACAAATTTAAACTTATTTGCCATATGGAGTTCACTGCATCAGGAACATCTTATAGTAGCCTGTAGGGTAATACAACAAGAGGCCCATGGGCTCACCTGAGCACATTGGCTAGGCAAAAGCACAAATCAGTTCAGTATTGAAAAGATTACTGGGGGGGGGGCTTGAATTTTAAACTACCTGATGATGCTTCCATGTCAATATAACAAATGGCTTTGTTGTACTTGAGAAGATTTTTTAAAAAAAGATTTCCCATATATTCCTTTGTAAAAATTTGATCCCCCATTGTGGCTCCTCCCTATCCAAGGGGTCATCATTTGAACAAGCTTGAATCTACACTACTGAGGATAATTCCATATCAATATGACTAAACATAGCTTTTCTGTTCTTGAGAAGAAATTTTTTTTCTATATATTCTTATGTAAAACTTTTGATCCCCCATTGAGCCCCACCCTACCCCCAGGGGTCATGATTTGATCAAACTTGAATCTACACTATCTGAGGATGCTTCCATATAAATGACTCATCATGGCTTTGTTGTTCTTGAGAAAAAGATTTTAAACAGATTTTTCCTATATATTTCTATGTAAAACTTTGATCCTCCATTGTGGCCCTGCCCTATCCCCAGGGGTCATGATTTGAACAAACTTGAATCTACACTTCCTGAGGATACTTCCATATAAATATGACTCATCATGGCTTTGCTGTTCTTGAGAAGAAGATTTTTAAAGGTTTTTCCTATATATTTCTACGTAAAACTTTGATCCTCCATTGTGGCCCCGCCCAACCCCCAGGGGTCATGATTTGAACAAACTTGAATCTACACTACCTGAGGATGCTTCCATATAAATATGACTCATCAAGGCTTCGCTGTTCTTGAGAAGAAGATTTTAAACAGATTTTTCTTGTATATTTCTACGTAAAACTTAGATCCTCCATTGTGGCCCCGCCCTACCCCCAGGGTCATGATTTGAACAAACTTGAATCTACACTACCTGAGAATGCTTCCACATGAGTTTCATCTTCCCTGGCCCTGTGGTTGTTGAGAAGAAGATTTTTAAAAGATGCTATTAATTTTTCACTAATTCTTTATTATCTCCCCTTGAAAGAGGGCGTGGCCCTTCATTTGAACAAACTTGAATCCCCTTCACCCAAGGATGCTTTGTGGCAAGTTTGTTTGAAATTGGCCCAGTGGTTCTGGAGAAGAAGTCGAAAATGTGAAAAGTTTACAGACAGACGGACTACAGACAAAATGTGATCAGAAAAGCTCACTTGAGCTTTCAGCTCAGGTGAGCTAAAAACCACACCCATGCAATATATAACTATTAAATATCTTATTTCTCTACCCTTCACTCTTACGACTTAACAAGCCATAGGATATAATCTTAACACTTTTTGGAAACTGAGCTATGCAATTGCCCCTTGAACCACGCTACCTACAAAAGGGAACCAGGTTAGGGAGCACCAGTTTACTATTTATACCTCAGCGCTATCCAGAACAATAAACCTTCCCTCGTCGGTAAGATGAAGGTGTGCTCGGCTTGTCTCCATCTGATTATACATGGAGGGTGAAACCATTAAATTACATGCAAGTGCTAGTTGAAAGATTTATCAAAACATCACACTAATAATTATATGGACTTGAGTAACATATTTCTCGTTCTGGTAAATGTGTTACAGTCCAAAGTCCAAACTCGCCAAATACCTAAGGTCTGCACCAAACCCCAATGGTTTGGTGTCGGTACAGAGGCAAAAGTCTGATGGTCACACCATAGTCCAATGGCTCTTTCCTAAGAAGCGCTACACTTAAGTCCAATGGTGCAAGGGAAAAAACTGTTGTCAGGCTTTCAAAATCTAACAAATTCAGTGATGATTCTTTGAATTGGTCAAAATATCTGAAATATTTTGGGGTCGAGGGGGTGCTGAAATAAGGGCTTTATGGAATCCTAAAAGGGTTTAAATGAGTGACAAATATTGAAGTTTGACAGTTTGTTCAACAACTGTTACATCCTAACCTGGCTGAATAAACCGCCACGCCATTGTAAGGAAGTCTGAATCATTCTTACGTTTGTGTTTACCTTACTTGGAGATAAAACCAAACGTCTGAATGATGCAAACTAGAACAAAACACGGACTAAACAACTTGAATAAACTACCAAAACAGAGAAACAGAAATGGATCTAGAAAGTACCAAAAACATTGGAAAACACTCGTTCATATCGGATTTTTGGATTCAAATTAGCGGAATTCTGCTAAATATCGGAACAGAATCATCACTGCAAATTAGAGTTAGTCCTCTCACACCATATGACTGATAGTGGTTAGTCTTGCACTCATCCTGGAGATTATATCACACACAATTTGACTGATTTAGGGTTCAGAGGTGTGCAATTAAAAAAATCAAGTACTAGCCCACGGGCTAGTGGCAGCAATAAAGTTACTAGCCCCAAGTAAAAAGTTACTAGCCCAAATGTAGGGGGGGGGGGTAACAACTAATATTGAATTCACTGTTGAAAAAGTCAGGGCTTTAAGGCCATTCTTTTTAAAATCAAAGTTTAATTCTCACTAGTAAAATTGAATCATGTATAAATTATTAATTACGATAGAATATAAAAATGAATTTTTAAAATTACTTTTCCTTCTTCTGTGCATTGCACTAGCTCATCTAAAACGAAATGAAATCATTTTTTATAATCTTAAATAATTAAATACACTAAAAATATATTTATTTAAAGCACCTAACACTTATTTTTCAGTTGATTTCGTGATCGTAAATAATTTAATGAGATATCTGCCTTTATTTACCATAAACACATGAATGGAGGAAATTCGGATTAGAAAAAAAACGATCGTTTTTGGAAGTAAATAAGTCAGGAAGTGCTGCAAAATGGATAAGATTATGGAGATTTATGAACTAGAGGAGCATGCTGCCTGGAAATTTTTCATTGGTTGGGAATTTAAAAACAAAAAATGAGTGAAAATACCGGTAGTTATTTTCATATATTACGATGGTATTTTTAATTTTTACTAGCCCATGGGGCTACCTGCATGCAGAAAACCACTAGCCCGACCCCAAAAAATGGTAGCCCCGGGCGTCGGGCGATGCTAATTGCACATCCCTGGGGTTAGTCTCACACTCTGATCGACTAATTCAGGTTTGTCTCACACCAACTCGAGAGATCATAGTTCTCGCATACTACTCCAATGATAAGTGTGTGTCTCACACCCACCTGAGAGTTTAGGGCTAGTGTATTATAATGAGAGATACTATCTACAATTTATCAAAAGTCATCGGACTTCCATGGCAAAAACATTGCACTGTGGTACATTCGTGTAGATCATCTGACTTTGGCATGTCTCACCATCAGACTTTGTCGACTGCATGAGAACCATCAGGGTTTGGCATATCAAACCACTGGGTTTTGACCATCAGAATTTGGAGTACTACATATGTATTTGCAGGCATTGCTGCTTATTTGGTATGCAAACCATTAAGAATTAAACTTTTATATTTCAATTTTTCTTATTGACAGAATGGGATAAGAAAAGAACAAGATAATTTTGCTGATGTTCATAAAACAAAAAGGGGAAATGTACAAATAATTACAGACATAAAAGAAAAAAAGAGCATGAGAAAATACATCTGGCGGTGAATTTATAATGTTTTTTTTATGAGAGGCTTATTAACATTAATGTTGAGTCCATTTCAAATTGATCAATAATACATACTTAAAGAAATGATAATGTTCAGCTAGGGTCCCATTGTCATGCAACAATACTGATGACTACTGAATATGTGTACTTATTTTAAAATTTCACTGACAAAATTAAGCATTCATATTACACCCACTGTCAGTAATATGCAAATTCATTATCCCCTCCAAAATCTAGAGTTTTAAATGCAGTGACGGTGACCGTAAGGGAGAGAAGCACTAATTACTTAACTTGAACAGATGTGTTTAATTTTAAAAGCTAAAATAAGTACACATGAAATAAAACAATTAATTAATGAAACCAAGCAGTTACACTATCAGATATAACTTGATCACTATAATACATGAATACGCTACTAAGATACCTTAAACAGGTCCATTATCACATGACCACTATCCGTAACCAATAAATTCGCTTCACTCCTTTCAACCTTGTAAATGTTGTTAGATATATTTTTTTAGATGGTCAAGGTTAAATCACAGAACAGTGCATGCTAATTCCTTCAGAAAGTTAGGAAGGAAAAGAAGATGAAAATGTATACAAAATATATGAGCTTGCAAAATAAGAAATGAAGGCAACACACAACAACCATGTATCTAGTAGTAAACCAATCATTAAATAGCAAAAAAAAAAAACCAAAAATCAGTGATTTAGAGTTTCAAGCACAGATGTACTAAGATATACGCACAAAAAATGCAATTTAAAAAAAAGTACCTTAGGAATCATCTCCTCATTCATATGACCGGCATCAGACTGGTCATGTAAGGGTTGTCTGCCCTTGTTCATGCTCATCAGCTGATCTGCCAGTTCCTGTACAGGGCGTCCAATCACATTGGACTGAATTGACCTTTGATCTTTGACCCTTCTCTCTGCCAGGTGACCTGGTCCCTCTCTACGTGCATGAGAGGGGACACTGTGGTCTTTGAGTATATCTAAAAGGTCAAATTCCACTCATTCAACAAAATATGGCAATTAAACTAACAGTATCAGTAATTTGTAGGCCAAAGAAAATCTGTAGAAAGATTTCTTAATAACATTTATAAGATTTTCTTACAATATGTAATTTTTTTTACACAACTATTCTTTTGTTATTAAGCTTTCAAATTTTTGTATGAAATAGGTGAAGATAATGAACAGTGATTGATCTCAAAAAACTTACAAACATTACAAATCTGTGAACAGGGCATAAAACAAGAACCCCTGGAAATTCCAGAGACGGGATCAGGTGCTTAAGAGGAGTAAGCATCCCCTGTTGACCGACAACAAAACAATAATTTGTTTATTTACCTTCATTAATATCAAGCCCCATTGGTATCTGCCCTTCCTCTAGAAGCTCCTTGAGTAACTGTAACATAAAACAACTAATGGTCATGTTAGCAATTCATTGGATTGAACAGAAGTTTAGCTAGGCCTTAATAATTTTGGTTCAGAGAAGTACTTCATACAGCACTTAAATGTCTAGCACTGATTCTGAACTCAGTTGTTAACTATTGAATTGAGAAAAAGACACCACTAGCACTTGTACACAAATTTTATTTAAAATCTATCACCCACCACAATAGTTCTGTTGCTCTCATGAAGCCTATTCTTCAGAGTTTCCACTTCAACTTCATGGCCACAAGCATCCTAAGAATAAAGTCAAACAGTGTCTTATTGATAAATCTTTAAAAAGAAATACAATAAGTGCTGTTGGATGTGAATGAGTAGCATGTACATGTAGTACAGACATGTAGTTCAGTTACATTATTTCTGTCCAATATGTGATACACATTTCAGAACAAATATCCAACTTACTGTAGTACACAATATTACTGTAGCCTTGACTTTCAAATAGTCTGGTACATTGCACACATTATCATTATAGCCTTGACATTCATATTGTACTTGTACATGTGTATGCTATAAGCCATATCTGTGCAAAGTTTTATTATTTGTCTTTATTCTGTACCAACCTTTCCATTCCTCAACTGCTCCACGGTTTTCTGCAGGTGTGAGTTGAGCTTCTCCACTTCGTGAAGTTCAGCCTCACTCTGATCCAATAGAACATCCCTAGCCTTCAATCTACGGAGCTCTGTGCCAGGAACATTCACAAAGTTGGCCTCGGGATTCTGGTACTCGGTCAATTTCTTACAGAGCTGCTCATTCCGATTCTGAAGGACCACAATTCTTCTCTGGCAATCCTCTAACTTACGAGGTAATTTTTCTCTTTGTGAAGGACTTACTTCAGAAATTACCTATAAGAAAAATCATACAATCTAACAGGAAAATCATAGAAGTACATCTACAATATTTTTATTTCCTTATCATGGTGTATTCTTAAGCTTTATAATTTTAGTGTAGAAGCACAGACGTAACAATAAAGCTTCTAAGTCAGTAACAGACCTACCTGAGAGTCAGAAAATTACAGAGAAGATCACAGAGTAAAGACCTGACTCAAGAGTCATACTTAGTTGATGGATTATGGACTTAAAGACTTGCTTAAAAGAATAGGACTCAAGTTGCTAAATTGGTATACAAGTCCCCTATAGCCCTTTCAGAGACAAACTCTGGTTTCAGTAATTGTATTGGTAATAGAGAGTTACAGGGCTTTGCACTTGATTATAAAGACTTGTTTTTAGATATACCTAAAACTCTGGCTCTGAATGTCAAATATATGAGTCACACCATACTTAATATTTGGGTGAATTATAGACATACATTTACCTAAGAATCAAAGAAATCTTGATCAGTTAGTAACATACCTGTAAGCCAGATTCCAGTTGCTGAATTCTCCAGTCAGCCAGACTTCAGTTGCTTGATTCGGTACTTTAGTTGATACATACCTGTGAGCCGGACTCCAGTTGCTTGATTCAGTACTTTAGTTGATACATACCTGTGAGCCGGACTCCAGTTGCTTGATTCGGTACTTTATTTGATACATACCTGTGAGCCGGACTCTAGTTGCTGGATTCGGTACTTTAGTCGGTTCTCACTCCTCTGTAGATTCCCTATCTTTTCCTTTAGCATTTCCTCCGACTCCTCCTTCTGTCTCAGTTTTCCCTCCAGCTCCACTTCTTTAATCTTACTGTTTTCCAGCTCTTTGTCCAAAGATTTCCCTGATGACTGGAGTGAACTTTTAACTTTATTGACCTTCTCTAAGTCTGCATGAAGTGAAACGTTTTGTTGATCTAGAACAGCCAGCTGATTTTGAAGTTGTGTCATGTGATGTGAAATAGCCATATTCTCCTGCATCACATGATTCAGTTGCTGTGAGAGCTCAATGTTTGCATTGTGTAACTCTGAAAGTTGTTTTTCAGCATTTGATCCCATTGTCTGCATATCTGACAGCTTCTTGTTCAGACTGATTTCCTGGTTTTCTTGGTCTTTTGTCCTTTGTAACAGATTGGCCTCAGCCTTCTCCACTTCTTTTAACCTTTCCTCCAAATACTCTGATTTCTCAGAAAGATTTAATTTCTCTTTCTCCAGACTCTCTAACTGCTGCTTCAGTTGAGCCTCCGACGTCGACAGCTCAGACAAAGTCACGTTCAGATTTGCCGATTTTGATAGCCACACTTCTTCGTCAAGTTTATATTTCCTCACAAGTTCCTTCAGCCTTATTTCCATTATCTTGAGCTCCGATATCCGATCCTCCATTTTAGTGATTTGATCTTCCTGCTCCTCCACTTTGTTGAACAAACTCTGCTCCGAAGCATCCAGTCGGTTCAGTTGTTCCTTCATGTTTTTCTCTGAAAGCTGTAGTTCGCGGATTCGGATGTTTTGTTCATGTATCGTGTTTTTGTCTTTCCTAGCTATCTCATGTAATTCTTCTCTATCTTTTTCCAAGTCAGAAACCTGAAACCAAATATGTACAAGTTGTTATGTATACTAACAAAACTCAAAAGGCTAAAGGAATAGTATCATAAAGTATTTTAATGTCATGGAAAACTTTTCTTCGGAATTTCCCCTAATAAATTTGATTGCATTTTAACATTTCTATTTACTTATTGTACATAAAATCACTGTTTTAACCTGTGTATAATTTATTTCCTTCCCAATCTGACCTAAAATATAAACATGTAAGTTTATTCAAATTTGTTTTAAGTTACAGCAATAACTTTACCTCACAATCTATGACATTATTACAAGTGCATATACAATACTGAGGCAAAGCCACTTAATAGAGATTCCTATCTGCACAGTTTTTGAAGTGTATGATCCCTACCTGATGTTTGAGATGTGAGATCCCTACCTGATGTTTGAGACGTGAGATCTCTACCTGATGTTTGAGATGTGAAATCCCTACCTGATGTTTGAGATGTGAGATCCCTACCTGATGTTTGAGATGTGAGATCTCTACCTGATGTTTGAGATGTGAGATCCCTACCTGATGTTTGAGATGTGAGATCCCTACCTGATGTTTGAGATGTGAGATCTCTACCTGATGTTTGAGATGTAAGATCCCTACCTGATGTTTGATATGTGAGATCTCTACCTGATGTTTGAGATGTGAGATTCCTACCTGATGTTTGAGATGTGAGATCCCTACCAGATGTTTGAGATCCAAGATCCTTACCTGATGTTTGAGGTGTTTTTCCAGCCTCTCCAGTTCTGAGATTCTCTGACGGAACACATCCTCCGGACTCTCCAGACCTCTCTCTGACATGACGGAGGATTCCAGACGGACTTCCAGCTCTCTGTTCACAGCTTCCAGTTCTGTAACCTTGCTCAGAAGCTCGGCCGGATTATCACGGATCTCAGCACCATTGTTGTTGTTAGCTAAGTGCTCCTGAAGATCTTGGACCTGTTGTTTGAGAGATTTCTCACTCAGTAGTAAGGCCTCTATCTTCTTACTGGTTTCTTCATTTCCACTGCTAATAGAAAAAGTAAGGAAAATGTAATATCTGTACTAAAGTTTCATTTGATAGAAAAATTAAAAAAAAAAAACATTCATGAAAACTGGATTATATATAGATCACAAAATATATAACCATATTATATGTTACACAAGTTCCATCAAAAATAGCTAGTCCATTTATCCTAACCTTACCAAAAGTCCTCTAAATGTTGCAGGTGGAATTTAAAGTATGTAAGAGACCGTCAAAACAATGGCTAACAATCCACACACTGTATATACAAAATTACCTGCAAGTTGTAATAGGATTAACCCAACAACAAAATGGACCCGGCTTTACTATAATCCACAGTAAATGCAGACTGTACAGTCTTATTGTCCTCAGATCAAATGTTAATTCACAGACCTAATTAATTATACCCAATAACAAGTCATCTCATTAATTATTCCAATTTTATATCCCTATCAAATCCAGAGGAAATTGTTAGGTGCATCATTTCATAGACTGTTTACTTGTTTCCATAGAAATTGCATTCCTTTTTTTATGAATAATTAATGATTTAGGACTCTAATATAGCTCCCTCCATCTGTTTTGATTCAGGTACCCACAGAGCTGAAGACTAAGGTATAACCAAGAAATGGTCAGGTTAACAGATCAATAGGAAGCAATCACTAAATAGATGTGATGTAATAATGACTGCTTGTTTATGAAAGGTCTTAATTCTTGTCTAAAAATTTAGCAGGTAACTTGGGGAGAGTCTCAAAAGTGTTTATCATACCAGGTATCATATCTTTCAATACTGACAGGTAATGATAAAAAAGACATGGACATGAAGCATGTTACTTTGACAATACATTAGAACATCTAAAGATTTTTTTTGGGGGTGTGTGTGTGTGGGGGGGGGGGGGGGGGGGTTGTTAACATAAACAACATATGCAAATAGAGCAGAAACTTACTATCCTAGGTTAAGGTATATATATTTATGCTTATTTCTCATAATTGGGAATGTAAACTATATATAATATTACAAAAATAACAGATTTACATATAATTGTATATTTTGATAAGAGATTAATGTGTGTGTCAAATCTTGATCCTTAGTTAAATGATCAAATCATCAGAATTAGGGCAATTTTATCATAATTCGATCTCTTTTAAAGTTTTTTTTTTAATTTTCATTTTAAGATCATTATTAACTATAAATCCTTTTTTTCTTTTTCAATGAAAAACCATGCAGCACTTACTGATAAAAAAAGATGCCTGATCAATTAAAATGACAGAATGATGTGTGCTGTATGTATAATAAATAAGGTCAGGCATCATATTCCCAGTTTGATAAAATAAAATACACAGTAGATCAATTAACTCTTGTCAGAGGTAAACAACAGGAAATCACTCACCTGGCTTCAATATTGATTATATCCCTGAGATTGATCAGAAATCTATAACAAAATTAACACCTGAATCTACAGGTGTTCACGGGCCATTGACCCACATTTCTGCCGACACACTCTTCCCTTGCACAGGTCCGATCTTGTCACATATTATTAAATATTCTCATCTCTCATAACAAATTCCTTAGAATGTTTGTCTATACATTGAATGTAAACATACTGTTACAAGAAAAGTCCACAAGAAACATGTATGTAGTATTAAAAGTCAATAACACCCCCATTAAGGGCAGTTCGGAAGATTTAGGAGGTATGATATTTAAATTTGCAATTTGACCAATGTGTGATCAGCTTGATCAATATTTTGTATAGATGCTTTCACTTCTGGGTTTTATTATTGGATTAAAAAAGAAACTTTAAAAATGTCTGAAGTTTTACCAAGAGGACTTGTCAAAAGTGATTTTTTTTATTAAATGGCAAATCAGAAATTCAATACTTCAACTTGCTATGGGAGAATTTCTTGCAGTTTGTGGCCAACATAAATCTTATAAATATACATATATATATCGCATAATGTAGTAAGAAACACTAAACAATTTACCTATGGTCAACAGGATATTTTTATCCCATTAACAGCTATAATAATATCTATTTTACTATAGGTCTGCCTGTACTTCTTAATGGAAGAGAAATGTCCTGTTGACCATAACTATCTTGTCTATTATGTTCTTCCTACTGTTTTGTTGTAGAATTTTGGATCAGAGTGTCCTGTAAAATTTCTTACCTGAATTTGTCCTTGGTCTTGGTGAGACAATCAACACAGTGAACAAGATTTTCCAGCACCTTCCCAATCTCTGGGTTCAGAACCACCTGTAAAAGTAAAAGTAAAATAACACAAATGGAATTAAGTCATTTACACTGCATTTCAAAAACTTGATTAATAATATAAATAACAATCATGAAAATTTGGCATTATTCTTTTACGTACATTTTAGAACTAGGGGAAATGAGTTCACTTAATTCTTATGCAACAAGGGACATAACTTCATCAACAGATAAAGACTCATTTCCAAAAAAGAACAGTAACACAAACTCTTTATCAAATGTTTAAGTTATGAAACTGCAAAAATATAAATTGGTTAAAAAAAAAAAATACAGTACATGTTCCCTGTATATGATAACTTACTGGTAAATCTGAAGGAAGCTGAAATGTACGAGGGACCTCGTCATCCACTTCCTGTATTTCGTCATGGAATCGGATCTGTATGTCCAGTACGATGTCCTGTAGAACTCTCCGGAACTCCTCTAACTCGTCCTCCAACTCCTTCACCCGACACCCCAGGGCTTTCTCCCGGACTCTCAACGACTGCTCGTCACACTGTTTCTGTAATGTCTGCATTTTCTTGTTGAATTCTTCCGTTTTGTTTAATCCAAAGAAACTGTCTTCCGACAAAACTGATGGAGAAAAATTACTAACCATTTCCTGACACTTGGAACACAATGTTTTCGATGATTTTTCCTTTGCTTGAAATTCTTTTTTCAAAGTAGTGAGATTTTCCACAAGAATGGATTCTTTTTTCAATTGTTCACTTAATTTTTGATTTAACTTAAAACACTTGGCACATTTCTTTTCGTCGGATAAATCTATGTTTGAGATATCACTGATGAGTTCCGTTTTGGCACTAGGGTTAACGTCTGATTTTATGGGAGTTGATTGAGCACTGATAGGTGTTGCGATTTGATTCAATTTTAACTGATTTTCTTTGTCCTGAACAAAAGTATCCTCAGATTCGGAATCACAATTCACATCAGATTTCATTTTCACCACTTTCAGTAATGCATTATTTTCCTCTGTTAAATCAGAAATTTTTCTAGAATGCTCTTCTTCGTTGTGTTTGAGATGAGACAGTGAATTTTCTAAATCGGAGACAGTAACTAATTGACTAGAGAGAGTTTCATTCAGTTCGGAGATTTTAGATTCATACTCCCTCTCCATTGTCCTCAGTTTGAGATTCACCTCAGAAAGTTCACTGTCTAATTTCTCTGAACGAGATTTTTCTTGATTTAATTTCACTGATAAACTCCTCTCACACTCACGCAAATCCTGAACACATTGTTTTTCTTTCACAAGACTATCCTCCATACTCTTTAGAGATGTCTCCATCTCAGTCACTTTTGTTTCGGACACTTCCATTTCTGTTCTATGAACACTGAGCTCATTCTGTAAACTCTGAATTGTTTCCTCCGCTATACTTAGCTGTTCCTTGTAATCTTCGTTTTCACCCTTTAACATTTCTAGATTGACTTTCAATAGCTCCACTGTCTCTCTGAGGTCCGCTACCTCTTTCATGATATCTGGAACTTCTGTAAATGTCACAGAATTGCGGAGTTTCTGATTTTCCTTCATCAAGAAATCTTCACGGTCCTCTAGTTCCATCACCCTTTCCATCAGTTTTTCCTCTGAGTTTTCTAACAATTTCACCTTTTCGTTGAGTTTTTTATTCTGTACATCTGCACCTTGAAGTGTGACGAGCTGCTCTGAGTAAATCTGATTCTCCGATTCTAGATCTTGTAAACGTTCAAACATCCCCGTTAGCTTCCTCCCCTTTGGAGCGTTCAAGTCATCCGTGTCTGTGCTTTTTTCCTCACTAGAATCTGATTTCACATTCACAGAAGAACTCACTGGTTTACTGCGTAGCTCCATCTCCAGACTTTCTAATTCTGTAACGCGATCCATCAGCTTACAGTTTGCTTCCTCCAACAAACTAGACTTCGTTTCCACAGCTTTCATCTTTTCCTCACATTCCTGTTCATAAGAATCTAACTCTATCACTCTCTCATTGAGGTCATTATTCTCCACACGAATTTGTTCCAACTCCTCGCTGACACTTTCCAGATTTTCCTGCAGGTCCTGGTTTTCCTTCTGCAATGTATTCACTTCCTCTGACAATCTCTCACCCTCTTGTTCCAATTCCTCCCTCATCCCCTCGGACTCCTCTAACTGCTGTTCTAAGAGTTTAACTTCCCCCTCATACTTGTTCACTTTTTCCATCAGTTCGTCTTCGTGTTTCTCTATTTCCATGATCCTGGACGTCAGGTCCTCTTCCTGCTGTATGTACTGGGCGATCTCTCTCTCCATCAACTCCACTTTCTTCTCTAACTGCTCCACTTTCCACTCATGTTGCTCTTCTAGCTCCTTCAGCCTCTTTTTGAGATCTCCTTCATGTTCCTCCATGGAGTCCATTCTATCTAAGAGATCTTCTCGTGATCGATGCATTTCCCGAATCTTCCCTTCATAATGTTTTATTCTATCACTAGATGACGACTGTTCATACATGGACACTCTGTTCCTTAGCTCCCTCTCTGTGTGTTCCATTTCCGCTAGAGTCTCGCTCAGTTTGATTTCGTTTTCCCGCAGCGTGGCTATTTTATCCTGGAGTTTCTCAATCTGACTGTTCTTTTTCTCCTCTGTCTCTGCGAGTTCCTCCTGTAATGATTTCACTTTCTGCTGCAGAGAAACTAAAGAATTTCCATCCATAGATTTTTCACTTTCTGACAGTTCTGTAGCTAGTGATGGAGCATTTGGAGGGTCTGATTTCTCTCTCTGCTCACGAAGCCTCTTCCTCAGATCTAGATTTAATAATTCCAGGTTATTCACTTTTTCTTCGAAGCTCTGTATTCTTTCAGCATCATTCTCTGCAACTTTCATCCAGTTTATTTTTAGAATCTCTTCATTTTCCTCCAGTTCCGCGACCTTCCCAGTGAGATCTTTGTTTTCCATCTCGAGATCTTTAATCTGATCCTTCAGCGTCTTGACGAGCATGATGTCAGTCTCGAGTTCCTCCTTCAGCTGAAGTCTCTGCTCCAGTAGCTGATTCTGCATCTCGAGATCTGAGATTTTCTGAGATGCTATCTCCTCTGCTTTCTCCAGAAACTGCACCTACAAAAGTATGATGCTCAATTAATCTCACCTGTTAAAACAGATGTACAGTAACAGAATATCATAGCAGCTGTTGCTTGAAAATAAAAATTAATCAACAGAAATAACTTCATCCAAAAAAATTTGTAATGACTGATGCCAACTAAAATCTAAGAATTATCAATAGATCTCTCTCAAAGCATGTCACTTCTTACATGGGTTGTATCAAAGATTTTTGAGAAGTATATTTTAGATATCTATTTATATAGCATAATGCAATTGTGTTCATTTTTGAGTCTGTCTTTTTTTCAATTAATTAATCTTGCATACATTGGAAACCATTCATTACAGCTAGCAGAATGTCAGGAAATTTTTTGAATTGTTTTTAAATTACATAATTACACTTCATCAAAACTAAGAGCAAAGCAGCATTGATAAGAAATCATTCATAAAATAATAAATACAGAAGATAGATAGAAACATTGCAATACTTACATGATTAAAGTTTGTTAGTATAACACTACAAATAACACACAGATATCAACATTCCACAAGAAACCATACCACACGGGTGTAAAAACTCATTTGGTGGAATGAACAATGCCGAAAGTTAAATATCCCCCCGAATATGACCAAGATTATCTACTGTGAACTAAGTCTTACGTCAATAGTCAAAAATGTCCGTATAATAATAGTAACCTATTAAGTCAGCAAAGAGTTTTACTTTGTGTGGGCAAGATTTGGCAATTAATCAGATTTAAGTTCTATTAAATATATGTCTCTTGTCTGAAATAAGTCAAGGCGAGAAACATACTCTAAGCTGATTTATTTTAGAAGGAAAAGTCAAATGCCCCCTGTCTGTTTTTTTGTTCGGTATTATAAGGTACTCTAAGTATATTGTGTATTAGTGGGTTTTATCGTCAATATACACAAACTTAAGGACAAAAACTCTGGACTAAGCTAAATAACCCCCAGACAATCTTTAACTCTGTGTGAAATATAAGAGGACCTCTCCTAAGTCACAATGATGTAGATTAAAGGTAAAAATAACAAACAATAACAATATTATCGGGTTTTATCTTGATATGCTTGAAAGTCTCCTGTCTGCCTGATCTAGAATAAACTCTGCTTAAAACATATCTAACTTATAAATATTTACTCATAAATTCAGTTTCTTTTACTTAAGTGAGATTTTTCAAAATTAGATCTTAACACTATCTCTCTCTCCCCACCCCACCCCCTCCCCTTTGAATAGTTAGTTACAGGCATGAACTAAGTTTAGCATAGGATATTACAGCAAGCTTTATCAATTTTATATGCAAAATAATTCCTACAAATCATTTGAAAACAGCTCTCAAGTAATTAGTTTGTGATGAGAAATTAGTAAAGAGTGCAAAAGAAAATATATTAAGGTTCAAGCACCAGAATCTGAGCAATTTCCAAAATGCAGTAAATAAAGCAGTTGTAAGTTTGGCAGACATTAATTTTTAGACAAACTTTTCATTCCGAGATTCAGAGCATTATGCTGTTAATCTGTACATGTACAACTTCATCTCAATGCTTTAGGAGTAAGCCTTCACTCAATGTCAAAGAGGAATTAATCAAAGACATTCGGTAGTAATCACTACAATGCATTAGACTAATGATAGAATCAGCGAGCCTTTGTCACTACAAGAAACACTCAATCATCATTCCCATGATGCACCACAGCAATACCTTTTCTGCGAGATTCATCTCGCTGACATCTTTATCCAGGATGATCTCCTTCAGCTCTCGGATCTTATTTTGACAGTTGCTAAGGGATTTCTTGCACTCCACCTCCGACTTCCTACATATCTCGAGATTTTCTCGAGCACTGTTCTCACTGCTCTCGAGATCATTAATAGTGTACTCTGCGAGTTTGAGTTTCTCTTTCAGCTGTTTTTCAGCTGTCTCGGCCTGGTACACCCTGTCTTGAAGTGCAACACAGACTTGTCTCATTTCCTCTAATCTCATCTCAAACGAGTCAGCATTTTCTTCCAATATATCCTCCTTTATGGTCATTTTCTCCTCGAGCTGAGATCTCAAACTTAAAACCTCATCTTGAGATTTCTTCAAATCAACTCTCAGAGCTAAAATCTCAGCTGTACAAATTGTTATATCATGAGTTGGACTCATGTGAACATCCTGACTCATCTCAAGACTCTCATATGAGTCTTCTGTTATCTCAGAGTCTGACTTATCTTCAAGATTTGAGTTCTCAAGACTGACTTCTTCATCTTGATGGTTGCCAATATTAGAGATATGAGTTTGCTGATTGATGTCCCCAGCATTGGATTGGTCATATTGAGAGTGTGTGATTTCTGCTGTGTGAGTTTGCTCACTGATGTTTCCAACACTGAGTTGGTCATTGTGAGATTCTACGAGGTCTGAAGGTTGAGACGGTGATGATTGAGTAGTGAGTGCATGTTGGTGTGAGTGCGAGTTTGGAGTATGCGAGTCCTGGAAATATGAGCATAAAGTCTACCAAGTGCAATTACTAAAACCCACCACCAGACTTGTTAATTACTTCACAGAAAAATAAGGCACCAATATTACCCAAAACAGTCTACAGAAATAAAAAAAATTAAGCAAAGAAAAATCCTCTAAAAGATCAAATTTGTAAAAATCTAAGTAGAAACTATAATTCATGATAAATTTTCTAGCTAGAATTTTATACAATCATTAACCATAACAAGTAAATCTGGTCTTCAGTTGAACTAGTTCCCTGCCCCTTCTTTACCTTTAAGGTCATGACCTCCTGTGCCTCTCTCTCCTCCAATGAGGGTGAGACACTGATAGGGCGCTCCTTCAGGGAGGCATTCTCCTGCTGTAGACGACTGACCTTGGATTGAAGGTCCTGGACTGAGGACTCCAAGGATTCCACATACTAAAAGGTCAAGGACATTATCATGTCAAGGTCACAGGCTCAAAGAGCAAAAATTACAAAGTTGGCCAACTTATAAACAAGTTCTTAGTAAATTAATGAACAAATTATTTCATAGTATAAGTACAAAAGCTTCATCTTTAACTAACAAATTAATATATGTAAAACATCTTTAGTCCATAATTAGGTATTAACAATGTACATAATAAATTGGCCAGTTGTGAAAAATGAAATGTAACAAGCTTTTTATTATTTTGGTATGTAGTATCACAACAAGAGAATTTGTATATAGGGGAGGTTTACTCACAGCATCGAATTCACTGCTGGGTACAGTCTTTCGGGAGGCATGCTCTCCTCCATTCATTTCAGCAGGATCTTCAGGGATCGTCTCAAGAGCTCCTACATTCTGAAGGCAAAATAAAGTTTTAATTACTTCAAGATCACCTTCCAGAAAAGACTATTGTCAGAGAAAGCAGGAACAGACAATAAATATTACATAACAGCAATTCTATTTTTAATTACTTCCTTAATTAATGTAATCTACAAAAACAACAAAATACAGTGGTTAATCACTCAAACTCGATCAATTCAAACTTCCGATTAAATGATTTCCATTGGGAAAAAAAGAGTCACTAGATTTCTACAGATATCTGATATACACTACTTAACATCCAATGAAAAGGTCAGTGGATTTACAAATCATATGAAAAAAACCTTATAATTCCTAGGGGATGTGAAAAAAATTGATTGTTAATGGCATATGAAAATTGAAGCATATATTTCCAAAGGAATAGCTTTCCATAGGGATATGAATTTAGGAGACATTCAAACATATCTTCTTTTAAATTATTTCCACAGTTTACAACGATTCATCAAACACCCCCTAATAAAACTGATACAGTGAGTTCTAGCTGTTACTACTGCTACAAAAAGGAAATTGAAGTCAATCAATCCTGGCCACACTGTAATAATTCAAATAAAACTTTCAAATCACCATTTTAACTCCATAATGTTTCCTCATGACTGTGTCCAAACTGTCACACAAACAAGTAAACACTATTTGTAACTGATGTCCTATCACATTTAAGTGTCAGCTAGCTCATCGACAATTGCTGAAGACCTCATTAAGAACCGTTCTAAACATCCAAAACTTTTTTCCCTTTTTTTCAGCTTGTCATTTCCATAAACTTTGAAAGAATCGATTGTGATACAGCCATGCTCTCTCGAATGTTACCAAACTTTGGGAGGACTGATTTTGTTTAATGACTACAGATTTACTTAAGGAGGGGTAACTGTTTGTTGGTAAATGCTTGTGTTTCTCTGTTTCCCTGCCTTATACACACTTCATATTTGCCTGGTACACTTGTAATTAGCTCATACTGATTAGATACCTCCTTTATTTTGTCTGCCATATCATTGTTGACTTTGATATTTTTCTCCAATCATTCATTAAAAATATTCCAGAAATTAAAGAAAAAGAAATATGATGTGAATATGTACACAGTAAATAAGTTCAATCTTTCTCCGAGCTACGAGGCTCATAAGGCCAGAGTTTGTACCTGGTTTCTGTGGTGCTAAGCATACGAGTGTCATTGACTCCCCCTGAATGAGACACCAGTAACTCCCATAGTAAGCTTAGTACCCATCTTAGATGGTAGACTGAGACAATTAATGCAGATAAAGCTTAAGTGCATGTGCCCTAGCTGTTTAAGGACACAACACATAACCCCATAGCAGGTCTTGAACCAGTGACCTTTGACCACTAGTTGAGCCATACAGTATGCCTTAATTTAGTTATTAAAATCTTATAGAAGCAAAAAGTTTGAACTTTTTATTTATTACAAACCTTAAGACAATATTTTTTCTACCACTTGGTCCTAAGCAAACAGGTAAAAAACATTTTTTTTATCATTCATAAATATCAATACATGAGTCAATTTCAAAAGAAAAAAATAAAATATATTATAATAAGATGATTTCAAAATATAACAATCAATAACTTACAGAATTGCATAGTTATAGTCAATGAGAGCACTTGAATGGTGTCAATTAACTCTCAGTGTAGTACTCATGGCAGGAATTATCATACTGACTTCATTTAATATCAGACTGACTTTATTATTGTGTATATAAAATCTAGTTCCTAGGAACCTAGGAAGATAAGCTACATTATGTACATACAGGGTTCACAGACAATACAAACTGTGTTTGTGTCTAATCTAATGTTACATCAAAAGATGTGCTGGGTGATTTATGACACAAGGCTAGAGAGAAATTATGTCAAGGGATGTCACTCTTGTGCTGTAATAAAGTCACCTGTTTTCCAAATACCTCAACTAAAATATTTTACATGTAATCACATTAAAACTGCACAACATACCTCAACATGCAATTCTATCATAATTAAGACTTTAAATTAACAAAATCAAACTAAAACACCAAATCATCCAGAAAAGCAAATTAAATAATTTAAATTAACAAAGCTCTCTGTATATTACCATATATCTCTAAGTAAAAATATTGAATTTAATCTGTAAATGGAAATAAACAAAAACATACCTGTGTGTAAATTTCAAAGCATTTATCCCACAACTTTACACCTTAAGATATTTAATCACAATAAAGATACAAATATCAGGAAATGATCTGTGAAGTTACGACCATGCCTCCGAGCTAAACGCACCTCTGGGACATACGGCCTTAACATGATCAGAAATATTTTGATTTTTTTGTTTGGAGAAAAAGACTTATCAATATAGGTAATCATTAACTGTGGGCCATTACACAATGGTACGATTTGATTCACACGTTACGAGATCAATCTTTGAGTGACAGGTCGTTAATCGTCCAAAGTCAAACGAGATCTCCTGGGTGTGACCAGATCGAGACGAAATTTTTTTTTTAAAAAAATCTGTTACATTCTACTTACTCACGGTTTACTGGGGAAAAAAATATCTGCGAATCATCAATTGATGATTCATTCTCTTGTTCAGTGAATTCCATTTTCCTCACAGCTGACGGATTTTTATGTCTATATAATTTCTTAATGTCAAATACACAACTACTGTAGCTTTTAGAATAATACATAAGCATGCACATTTGTGTATTCATAAGAATTCCTGAACTACTGAAGTGTTACTGGACCAATTGTGTGCGTAAAAAAGACGATTAATTTATACAATCTTTTATCAAATTAAACAGAACCAAAATAAATACAGAGTGGAACAGATAATTTGGTATTTATTTAACAGCTTATTGGTTTCCTGTAACAAAGGGATTGGATATAATTAAAAAGACAATTTTAAAGTTTTTTTTAAAAGGCACACTACTACGTTATAGCTGTTCTAATTTTCTCAGCTGAAATATTGATTTTTACATTGTGGGGGAAAAAAATCAACAAGGGTATATTCATGAACACTGCCTCCAAAAATTATACTACTTAGAGAACAGACACATGTCGAGGATTTGCTAAAGAACATTTACAATAGTTGATATGTGAAAAAGTAATTATACAAGTGGGGGGACGGATTAAGGGTTGGGTGGTAAAAGGAAAGGGGGGGGGAGAGAAGAGGACAACTATAGGAATATATTCAAATGGAATGACACTGACTAAAAGTCTTAAACCTTACAAAGCAATTGTAAGCCTTGAATAGTTAATGTTTATCACATCTCTCTCTCTTAAATTCTCTCTCTCATATATTCAAACATATATGTGTGAGGTGACTCTCTCTCTCTCTTGATCTCTCTCTCTCTCTCTGGTATAATAGAACATGTAGTATGACATGTGACTTCGCCTGAATGTCATGCTTTAGAATTCCTTAATATTTCTCTATACATCAAGACATGGTATTTTCTGTGTGTATTGGGTCTGTGGTGAGAATCAATAGAAGCCAGTGTTTACATGAGATCAATATATACATCAGTGTTGTGATGGAGGAGGAGCACTGGTCAGAGTCTGTTTATATCTACTGATTATCTATACAGAACCACACAACATATGGTTTACCTTAAAACATAATCAAAAATCCTCAAAGGTATTCTTGTACATGACTGTGTATGACTAAATTAATGTATAAATGTACCACTAGCAACTGTATACAGACTCACCCCCCCCCCCTCCCCCCACACACACACTTCTTATACACACAGAGAAAACAGAACATGAGATGGTGTATGAATTCCTTCTGAGGTCACACAGCTCCTAGCTGTCACCATTACATAATAACAGCATGTCTGCTAGCTCACAAAGTCTACATACTCTACACACACATGTTCAGTTAGCTTGAAGACAAAAACTTTCTCATTCATTTTGAACATGTTGAGTTGATCAAGTGCACTAGACTGTTTATAAACATTATAAAATAAGATAGAAAGCTTTTTAAATAACCCAGCTATCAATTCACACACACACCTTGACCTCCCCCACTCAGGTGAAATCAGTTACCTGTATCAGTTAAAATCCCCATTCATAAGATCCAAGTAATTCTATACACACACATGTACAGTATCCTATGATCACTACAATCTCTCTATCCTTTATTCATCCCTCAGTTGATCTGTCACTCTCCAGATACACACTGAACAGCTGTCTATACACACTGACTCTCCACAGTTTATCTCCTGTGTGCTAAGGGGCCTCACAATGCCACTGGGAGAAATCACCCAGTTATAACCAAATAATCTAACACATCATTGCTCCATGTCTGTCTGCCTAATATAATGCCACAATCAAACAATTATTCAGGTGTGTGTAGGTCTCAGGCATTGTTATTTGATGATTCTTGTAGACAGTGGACCTCTGTCCATTATGATATTTTCTTTCATACCATTTCCTTTTTGTGATAATAAATCGTCACTTTTCTTGAGCAGATGTTGAAGTCGTAAAGCTAATGAACAAGTCTGAATAATTGATTATGATCTTGGTCATTTTTCTCCAGAGTTTATCCACTAAGACAATTCTTTATCTATAGCCATGCTAATAAAACATTTTACAGAGATTTATAGACCTGTATTCTTTGTATATTCTATGCAGTACATGCACATGTTTAGCATGTAAATGCATGGCAGAAACTGCTCTTTGTGCAGGAGGAAGTCATTAAAACAAACTTACGGAATGTCAGAGAAATTCCTCGGAGTTTTGGTGTAATTACATTACACAGCCTTATATTGATTTCTGGACACATCTTGATGAGTCGCTCAGTAGCAAATTAACTATGTGATTGCTATGAGAATACTCAAACATGAAAATATACTGGTTAGCTAGCACTTTATAATAAAAAAAACATCTCTGCACTAGCTCAGTAAAAAAAATGTTATAATTAAATCATATTTGAACCATATACTCCTCATAATTCTTTATCTCATATCAATTACTGTATTAATGGAAACTGATCAATATCATGTTGT